GTGAGCCTGGTTCCCTCTGACCCACCTTTCTCTTGTGTGAGCACACCCGCCGCTTTGCAAACTTGCCGATTTTGCTTCTGGCAGACTCAGAAGGGGGTGGTTTGGAGTCTCCTACAGCCTCAAAACATAAAGCCTCCTGAACCTCCTCGGTGATGGTCGTCGATGCTGTATTTGTAGTTCGTGGTGGGCTTTTTGAGGAAGACCCATTAGCTGCACCAACACCAAAATCTAGGGCATCTTCAGAATCTGAAGCAGACTCTGGCCTGAAATTCGATGGTGGTCTGTCAGGCTTATGAGGTGTAAGATCATCATGTGAACCACTCTCGCTGTCGTCTTGGATGATGAGCATGGCGGAGGCTGTGGCTATTTCTCTGGCTAACGCTACTTATTTTTGAAGTTGTGTCGGACACCTGATCAACAATTCATCATCTGGGAGGCACTGTCAATATGCTGTGCTCTTCGGGCCCTCTTTGGACTCTGCTAGGAAGATGATGTATCTTGAATTTTGGACATGCAGTATTGGCCAAACTTCAATTCCAAGAGCCAGAATGTCACACACACACACACAGTCCCGGCCATCAGACACCATGAGCATTCTCGAGGAACAGTTCTGGTGATTAACTGTCGGAATCGGAATGACTGAAGATGTGCCAAGGAACTTTGAGTGCCAAATCCAAGGCTGTCCTGAACTGTCCATGCAACAAAACAACACTTCGAACTTTGTCAACAGCTACAGAATCTGCTGACACTGGGTCCTGCAGAATTCTGCCGGGAGCTTCATGTTTTTTCGGGCACCATCTCCCATAAGAAACGGATTGTCAAATATCCATGACTGAGGTAGGGCCTCATACCTGCAGCCACCAGGACAAGCAGCACCACTGCACTGTGTAAACAGGATTATGGAATGAGAGAGCTGGCACTCGGGCATATCACATGCAATATGACAGGGTCCTGCCTCGTCAAAGACTCCTTGATCTCCGGGTCCAGGGACTTCCAGGCCCGTGTCCATTTGCCAATCCTGGCCTTTGCTCCGACCCCAAGCAGCTGGATCAGGTGCTGACTTGCTGCTTGTAGATCCCCACCGACCACGCGCTTCCTGGGCAATCTGTCTGGGCAGCTTGACAACTATCATCAGAAGTTCTCAAGAAGAGCTCCCTAGCTGTCACTGCCAATTATGTCTAAAGAATAGCCCAGCTGCACTGCACGTTCGACAACAGCAATCTTGAGCACTATGCTAGTACACTTCGTCTTGTCAGCCTCTTCGTCATGAGCTGCAGTAAACCAGCTGAAGCGGAGATCAGGATGGTCATCTTGGAAAGCAATCATATCAATATAAATACCAGATTGCCAAACCTCATCTTGAGCAAAAGTCGCTTAAGCCGGGATAGTTGCAGAAGTTGCATATTTGCAAACCCAAGATGCCTCCAGCAATCTGGGATCATAAGCAGTACTGGCATTGACACCTTTCTCTGCTTGTTGCTGGGATCGCTCGAAGGCCTTCTTCAAGGCACTGATAAAATGGAGGCCATCAGCAATGATGATCCGTCCCTGACAAAGTATTGAAATCAGAGATCTGCCATGGTCTGATAGCATGAACTGCACATGTCGCTTGTTTAACCATGAATCATGAATCGAAATCTTACTGA